GAAACGTCTGCAAATATACAGCCTTTGTACACACAATTCACTCTAAAAATCCCTGGAAAATATGGAGTGATTCAAATTGTTGACTCAGAATTTCCATGCTTTGGTGCAAGCTAAAAAAAAAAACATGGAGGGGACAAGAAAAGCTGTAGAAATGGAAAATGGACTGGGCAAATTGGGAGTGAAACTTTCCAAATCAGGTGGCAAAGACAAAACACTTTCAAAGAAAAACGCCTGAAAATGTACACAACAAAAATACTTATAAATTCAATATTATGATGCAAAATTCTTGCAAACACTGTTGGATTAAAAAGTGAATCTTCTAAACAACCAAACAAACAATTTCCATACAAACACCAAATACACTTGGATTATTTGTATATTTTCAGAACATTAGAAACCAGAACTCCATTTAGGATGTGGGTTTACTAAAGGTTTGAGAGGTTGCCAGGTTGTGGGTGTGTGACCTTGATGATGGGTGTTATTATCTGTTCTGCACATGATTGGCTCATTTTGGGGCAGAAATAAAAGAGTGAAGTTGTTGTAGAAAACAAACACTGTTTTGTTTTGTTTTTTTGAACTTTTTTTTTTTTTTATGAAATCATATTTCCCAAGTCCTCTATCAGACATTACCAAAAAACACACAGAACAGGAATTAAAGCTATGCTTGCTTTTATTTCTCACTTTTTAGGAGACAATCCATTCACCCCTGATGCAGCACAATGTTGTAAAATGATATTAGTGGAATTTTGTAGTGGAAAAGAGATCATATCAGACTTACTACCCTAGATATACCATGTCCTCAAGGAAGACGACGAATAATATTGACAATAGTATACTGGATCTTAGAGATGTTGGCAGAATTACCTTTTATGCTGATCTGAGATCAGCTTCCCAATGATTTAAGAATTTCTGTTAGATTGGTTTATTAAATTAAGTCATATTAAATAAGGAACTTCTTAATTTAAAAATAATGGCAAAATCAAGCACCAACCTGTAATCATTTTTAGCGCAATGCTTTTTAGATAATACTATTCGAATGCTTTAACTGAAAGACTAAGCATAGAGAGAAAATGCAGGAATTTAGCACCCAAGAACAATGGTGAATAGAATACATTGAGCGACCCAGTCTTGAAGGGATAAAATTATGTACGTTTCATTAAACCAAAATAGAAAGGAGGTCAGATTAGTGAGGAACTTCAGAGGAAAATCCAATTTTTCTTATAATCTCTCCACAAATAGCAGTAAGGAGAGAATAAAAAGCTTCTGACCTAGTACGTCTTTTTTTTTTTTTGGTCTGTGTCAAAAATTACGATTCAGTATAGAATCAAATATTCTCCGAATACGACCAATCAGCATGCAGGTTTATCACGACGCCCTCCTGAGGTAGGGTTAACACAGGCCAATACTTCTTGACCATATGCAACAAAAGCTGAAACAAACCATGCTGCTAAATTACCTCTTGGTTCAGAATGTGCAATAAAATACTAAGCCGGTGGTATATTTTATTTGCGAAGTACGCACCCTTAAATGTTGGGGAATGGCGAGGACCCGTTTAAGCAAGTTTGAGCTTTTAAATTAAAAGGTTTTTTTTTATATACACTGCCATTCAAAATTTAGTATGTTAGGGGTTAGTATGTTTTTCCAATATTTTTGAAAGTCTCTTATGCTCAGCAAGGCTGCATTGATTTTTAAAAAAATCAAAAATAGAGCAAAAAAGTTGTGAAATTTCAAACTGTTTTCTATTTGATAATATATTCAAATGTAATTTATTCCTGTGATGAGGTGAATTTTCAGCAGCCATTTCTCCAGTCTTCAATGTCACATAATCCTTCAGAAATCATTGTGCTGCTTAATTATGTTTGATGAAACTGCGCTACATTTTTTTTTCAGGATTCTTCAGAGTTCAAAAGAACAGAATTTACCTGTAACGGAAATCCTTTGTAACATTATTAATATCTTTACTGACACATTTGTTCACTTCAATGTGTCCTTGCTGAATTAAAGTATTTAACAGTCTAACCCCAAACTTTCAATTGGTAGTGTATATGTTGAATAAATTTTTTGTTTGAAAAATGGCTTTAAAAGGGCTATTTTTTTTTCATGTCATTTTTCAGTAGGTATTACGTTATCATGATGACATGTATTGGGGTATACAGTATATAATATCGCAAGGTACTTGCCAGTTCCCAGCAGTTCCTTGGGCAACCATGACATCAAATGATCATCTATGACAGGGGTGGCGAACGTCGGTCCTGGAGAGTTTTGCTTCAACCCTAATCAAACACACCTGAACAAGCTAATCAAGGTCTGAATGGTTACTAGGAAGCTACAGGCAGGGGAGTTTTAATTAGGGTTGGAGCTGAAGTCTGCAGGCCAAACATGAAGACAAGAGCTGATTTTTCAGAAACTCTACGACAGTATGTTGATGTTCAGCTGAACTCGTTTACATGTGTTCGTCAGCAGGGCCGTTTCTAGCCAATCTGACGCCCTAGGCGAAATACCTATTATATATATATATATAATTCTTTTCAGACACCAGTTGCTTGTCACGTTCAAATTGGTTGTCATAGTAACGACACTAATTTGTGGAGATTCAGTGCATTGAGTTCCACAAATCTGAATGCATTATTTCTAAATTGACTGTTAAGATAAACATTTTGCACAATTTAGTCTCTGTAATATCATTGTGTTGCCACTAGATGCCTGTATAGCCCTATGTCATGTCTCAAACACAGGATGCAGAACATCTCAGACACTTGCTGCAATAAAAGCATAGCTCACCCAAAAATGAAAGTTCTGTCATCCTTACTCATGTTACCCTCATGTTGTTCCAAACTCATATGGTTTGCTTTCTTCTGTGGAACATAAAAGAAAATGCTTCAAACATCAATTAACATCCCAATGAGGTTTGACATCAGTGGATAATTGTGCCACCATAGTTAATGTGGTCTGCGTTTGTGTGCTTTGATCAGTGATTGGAGAGTAAATAATCCTTATTTAGAATATGCCAGATGCAGGGCCGTTTCTAGCCAATTTGACGCCCTAGGCGAAATCCCTAATCCCCCCCCCCATTTGTAAATTGACTGTTAAGATAAACATTTTGCACAATTTAGTATCTGTAATATCATTGTGTTGCCACTAGATGCCTGTATAGCCCTATGTAACAATCCCTAGTGGCTAAGACATTGCACATAATTTACACATAAATCACACATAAATTAATTTTATTACATTTTGATTTGGATACTATATACTATACTACTACATATTGTTTAGATATTATCAATGGCTACTTTTTTGTCTTTATCTGTTTTTTGTTCAATTTTTTTGTTGTTGTTTCTTGCAACATTGATTTAAAGTGTCAGTTATTGCATTATTATTTCAGTCAAACCTATAAAACCCCTTTGTTACCCCAAACTACATATAAAAGCTTTATCAGTGGCATAAAAGTAACCAATGCAGCTACTTAATCATTTGCTACTCGTTAACGTCCCCTTTAAATAACGTGACGCTCTGCCCTCTATGACGCTGCTCCCATTAAGCGCTGTTGGAAGTGAATGAATTGATTCAGCATTTCGACACCTACGTAAGGATGCATTTAACTCGACAAAGCGGTCTAATAAAGGATGTATTGATCTCGTGAATTAGCGAATTTTACTATACAAATATTTTTTAATTGGATGTTAAGTTTATATGGGAATATTACATGTCACGCTGATCCTTTATGCATTGCATTGGCGCAAAAAACGCACACCTTTTGGACAAATCTGCCACAAATATTTGGACAAATGTGCCACAAATACTGCCTAAACAAAATACTGATTTTGTGCACTTTATTTACTGTACCAATATTTTAAATTGGCCTTTGAACTTAGCTTTATTGCATGGCAAAAAAAAGTGTTACCTTGCCAAAGCACTGACAGAGCCCACTGATCTAATGGCGTTGTTGAGCGCTCCAAATGCAAACTTTGCATGCAACAATCACGCAGCAATTGACAACACTCTGATCTAGTGGCATACAGGCATCAGATTGACAGTACTCTAGCCCAATAATGTTGGGGGATCCAGTGGGGGCGGCAGTCATATTTCAGGGTGACCGTGCCACTCTTTATCACAACCCTGCTAAAAGTGCCAGTACGTGCGCTCATTGGCGCCCCTTTAGCTGGTGGCGCCCTAGGCGACCGCCTAGCTCGCCTATGCCTAGAAACAGCCCTGGCCAGATGAGTCGTATGGATTTATTTCATGTTAAAAATAAAAATTATTTGTATGTTTTCACAAAAAACCTTTAATATCCATGGAACCTTTTCAGTTCTTTATAGTGGAAAAAGGATCTTTAGAGTAATAAAATGTTCTTCACACTAAGAAAAAATAGTTATTTTAAGAACGGTTCACTGAAAGGTACTTTGGGGGACCGAAAAGGGTTCCTTTATGGAATCACTGCAAAACTCCTTTTGGAATTTTTAAGAGTGTACTTTTTGAATATCATTGACTTCAATATATGGACAAAGACAGCTGCAGGATTCTTCAAAATATCTTCTTTTATGTTCTACAGAATAAAGAACATCGAGTTTAAGGTTGAGCTATTCATTTTTGGGTGAACTCTTCCTTTAAAAGTGATGCATGGTCACACCGTGAGGCGTCCTGTTTATCTGATGTGCGTATTACAGGTAGAAACCCACAGATGTCAGTGCAGGCCAATGCTCCTCACAGATACTGCTCAGTTGCTCATTAAAAATTGACTGTAGAATATCTATCTACAGGCCATAAACTTGTTAAGTGCGCAATGAAGGACACTTAACACTGTTATGATATTCTGAATAGTTCAGCCAGAAATTTACATTCTGTCATTATTTACTCACCAAAACTGACAACAGAAAATGGAATATGTTTTGAAAAATGTTGATGTTGACAATGAAAGTCAATGGAGTACAGTGTTCTTTTGGATCCCATTGACTTTCATTTTTCAAAAATGGAATATCTTCAAACAGGTTTGGAACATCATGACGGTGAGTAATTAATGACAAGATTTTTTATTTTTTGTGTGAACTATCATTTTAAAGTAATCCTTGGGCACAAGATGAGGGATCCCAGGCAAATGATCCTAAACGGGACATCAGCACCCCATTATCACTGGGTCTATGATCCATAGAACCTCAGCACTTATGGTCAACATTGTCCATCTGGTTCTATACATTATAAGTGTAGTCTGTCAGGTAATCCTTCAGCCGGTTCGGCAAAGGCAGTTCTTGTACCCGCCTTGTGGTTTTGTTGATGGCAATACGACACAGATGCTGCAGAGATGGTGTGGCTGTGTACACCGGAGTCGTGAGCAGCAGCTGCACAGTGCCATTGGACGGGGCGAGAGGGGTAGTCCTGCCCTTACAAGACGTCCGGGACAGCTGCACATAGTGCTCCACGAGATGGACGACACTGTCGAACTGCTTGAGTTTGGGTTTGACCAGCACCACGGAGTCCAGCTTGAACTTGCCGTCCTTGTATTCGATTCGCAGGTTGGTGGGTCCCGCAGATGTCATGGCGGAGATGGTGAAGAGGTAGTCCCTCTGAGAGCTGTCTCGGACCAGAAACGTCCCCTCCGACGTGTCCTGCAGGATCTCCTTGGCTTCATTGGCTGTCAGGCTGCCCCAATACCAGCCTGCTTCCAAGAAAAGAAGACACAGAGATGGTCATATACGTATCCTCTTCCACAGTATCTGTTTCAGTCGCTTGCTTGTGTAACATGAGACCCATAACGTGTCCCTCTAAAGACACGCTCACAAAAACTGTCACAGCTACAGTCATATCCTGGCTATTCGGCTGTTGTTTTATCAGGCGTTTTCTGAGTCACTGCGGAGATTGTGGCTTTCAGAAGAGGACGCATTATGTCTTTCAACCTCTCAACTGTGCCCTGATTTAAAGAGCTAATTCACATCTGATAATGCAGCAGAAACCAAGCACTTCCGAAATGAGCTGTTAAATGAATGTTAATTGAAAACATTATGGCAACTGTGGCGTAGCAAGACTAAACAAGACGGCAGAAATGTCAACATAAATGACATATTTTCCCCGAAATACTGAACTAGACCATCTGACTATTCATCTTGGGAGTATCTGACATATTTGATGGAGGATGCTTGATAGATGTTCCCAAAAGCTGCTCCCATTGTTTTTCTCAGCAACAAACAAACCTAAAAATGGATCTCGCTGCAGCATCATAATGACTTTATGTTGTGTTTCTCTTTTATACAGTGCAGTGCTGAACTAAATTTGCTCATGCACTTGAAACCAGAAAGGGATGTGACAGAGACGCAAACCATTGAGGACAAATGTTCCAGCCAGACCAGGAAATATAACAAAAGCTTCATAGAAATGATAATGTCACTCTTTTGTTGCACAAAAAGCAAACAGAAAATGTAAACAGTAAAAGCTTTGTCAGGAAATTCGCATAGTTCCAACTTATATTCACTCGCATACTTCATATCATGGTCAGAAAGGGGGGCTTGTGGGACAAATGCCACAGAAAGTGACAAAAATGCCCCCAGAATTCATGTGGAATGTGGGAAAAAAATGCAATTGCAAAAACTTTTGTATTTGTAATGTCTGATATAGTTCTTAATATTCTTTTTTGATGTTGAATTAATCTTAATTACACTTCATACATTACATCTAATTATTTGGATTAATTAATGTATTAAATTCAAATACTGACATACAACAATGAAAAACTGTATAATTTAATAGAAAATAAATGGATTCATAAAATAAAAAAACATGCCCCTGGAAATCCAAACATGGTGAAAATTGCCCCTTAATGTAAAAAATAATTACTGGATTTACATAGCCTATACTTTTTTCTTGACATTCACTTCTCTGATATTTTCATTATTATCTTCTGCTCAGAAAATCCCTCTGAGAGCTGTCTCGGACCAGAAACGTCCCCTCCGACGTGTCCTGCAGGATCTCCTTGGCTTCATTGGCTGTCAGGCTGCCCCAATACCAGCCTGCTTCCAAGAAAAGAAGACACAGAGATGGTCATATACGTATCCTCTTCCACAGTATCTGTTTCAGTCGCTTGCTTGTGTAACATGAGACCCATAACGTGTCCCTCTAAAGACACGCTCACAAAAACTGTCACAGCTACAGTCATATCCTGGCTATTCGGCTGTTGTTTTATCAGGCGTTTTCTGAGTCACTGCGGAGATTGTGGCTTTCAGAAGAGGACGCATTATGTCTTTCAACCTCTCAACTGTGCCCTGATTTAAAGAGCTAATTCACATCTGATAATGCAGCAGAAACCAAGCACTTCCGAAATGAGCTGTTAAATGAATGTTAATTGAAAACATTATGGCAACTGTGGCGTAGCAAGACTAAACAAGACGGCAGAAATGTCAACATAAATGACATATTTTCCCCGAAATACTGAACTAGACCATCTGACTATTCATCTTGGGAGTATCTGACATATTTGATGGAGGATGCTTGATAGATGTTCCCAAAAGCTGCTCCCATTGTTTTTCTCAGCAACAAACAAACCTAAAAATGGATCTCGCTGCAGCATCATAATGACTTTATGTTGTGTTTCTCTTTTATACAGTGCAGTGCTGAACTAAATTTGCTCATGCACTTGAAACCAGAAAGGGATGTGACAGAGACGCAAACCATTGAGGACAAATGTTCCAGCCAGACCAGGAAATATAACAAAAGCTTCATAGAAATGATAATGTCACTCTTTTGTTGCACAAAAAGCAAACAGAAAATGTAAACAGTAAAAGCTTTGTCAGGAAATTCGCATAGTTCCAACTTATATTCACTCGCATACTTCATATCATGGTCAGAAAGGGGGGCTTGTGGGACAAATGCCACAGAAAGTGACAAAAATGCCCCCAGAATTCATGTGGAATGTGGGAAAAAAATGCAATTGCAAAAACTTTTGTATTTGTAATGTCTGATATAGTTCTTAATATTCTTTTTTGATGTTGAATTAATCTTAATTACACTTCATACATTACATCTAATTATTTGGATTAATTAATGTATTAAATTCAAATACTGACATACAACAATGAAAAACTGTATAATTTAATAGAAAATAAATGGATTCATAAAATAAAAAAACATGCCCCTGGAAATCCAAACATGGTGAAAATTGCCCCTTAATGTAAAAAATAATTACTGGATTTACATAGCCTATACTTTTTTCTTGACATTCACTTCTCTGATATTTTCATTATTATCTTCTGCTCAGAAAACAGCCCCGAAACAACACACCAGATGCAAATTGTCACACAAATGAATAAAAACATTAACAGCAGTCCTGAAACAACATTTTCAACTATTTGACATTCATAAAATAAAATCAGATCTGCTTTGAATATATCAACAAACTCATGCCAAAAGCATGATATAGTGTAGACCTGCTGCTAGTTTGATTTATGAGATTAAAGTACACTCAAAACGACCTTTAAACATTTTATTGAAATTTTATATAGAAGGTTAATCTTTTTTAAATCGACTGTTATCACTTTTAACATCAAATTTGACGCATTATGATAATTATGTTTTAACTATATGAATCACTGCCTGTGGCTGTGTTGCATACAACATGAATTCAGTGAGAGTTACAGAAGCAAATGAAGAGAATATGTAGCCTAAGTGAAACGAGCAGTAAACGTTTACCAGTGTTTTTAAGGTCTCTCATGGCAGTGGCAATGCGACTCTGTTCGGACTCCGCGACTTGGGTTTCGGTTTGCGATCTCCTTTCATTCTCGATGCTTTCCGTGGAGTCGGATGAGTGACAGGTCATTGGAGAACGGCGTTCTGCATCCAGTCAATGTCTATAATTATCCTTCAAAGACGACTGACTCGTACAATCGACCAAAACATGCGAGAAGTCTTCCACAGCGTCCGTGGATTTTGATTGGCTGCGCCGATCTGAAAACACAAACATGAGTTTTAACCCTGTTTTGTTTCACGCTTTTTTGTGTTTTTTTTTTTTTTAACCCTGATATAATATTTCCATATTTGTCAGCCGCATAAAACCGTGTAAATTGATGTCAAGTAGGCCTACAAGGAGTGCTGGTGCTACAATCTTCCACATTACCTGAGAGTAGCTAGGCCTACTAATAGAAAACGTGGACATGCATGCATTTATGCATTCATAGTATAATCAAATTTACTCCTTCAAAATAATTATGTCATCCCACGTCACCCTCATTTCATTTTAATCATTTAATTCAATAAGGCCACCGTATAGGAGACGTTAAAAATCGTTTAAAATAACATAAAACAAGAAACAAATATGCAAAAACATGAAACAGCTAAACGAAAGAGTGTGTGTTAGTCACTCACACAATTTTGGTAAGCATAGCAACACTGTCCTGTTTTGTTCAATATTTGTGTCTCCAGCAGAATGGAATATGTTACATCCCTTCCCGTCTACTCAGACATGGTATTTATAGTTTTTTAAACACATAAATGAAAAGCTTGTGTGAACGTTATATAGCTATCTCACTAAACATTAATGATACCAGTTCTGTCATTTAACATTCATTATCCTGATCTGAAACTGAGTTGTAGTCTTAAAACAGAAACGAAATTTCTCGTCTTACCTTAAAATTGTTTTTGTCCTGTAAATCCTTAATGTTTTTTTTTCCGTCTTAAAGCCTCTACTGTCACCTCAGGAGGGTGGTGCTCAAATATGATAGTTCACCCCTGTAGCTCATTTCTAATTGGTTATTTGAAATACTCTCATAAAGTGATAAATGAAAGTGGCCATTTCGTGTTAATCTCCATTGACTAATCCAAAGGTCAGCTACTGTTATTTTTTCTGTTGTTGTTTTTAATTGGATAAAAGAGCGAAATGACAATCTTCATAAGCCTCATTAACATTACAAACGTCCGTCTTCTGTGTGAATGGCTCATTGCGCACGTGCATGAGGAATAAAAACAAAGGCTGCCTTTGAGAGACGGCAAAATACGCAGAACTGCCTTTACTAGGAAATTGCATTGACAGCTCCTGGTAGTGTGACAAATAAGATAAACGACTGTATTTTCTCCTGAACGTGTAAATGAAGATACGTTACTTCTAAATGCACGAATTATTTGATGTAGCTGCTATATGAGATATAATGAATCAGAGGAAATAAAGCAGAATATATTTTGAGCATTAACTTGAGCCTGAAAGGTGACAGTCGGAGAAAGCGTACAGCACTTACCTTTTGTCTAAGTGAAAGCAATAAGCAATCAAGTCCAGCGCGTTTCACGTTACAGACGTTCAATGGCACCATGATTTAGACCCATCATTTATTATTAATGGGAAACACTGATCGGCTCACTGTCAAACGACCAGCACCCCCTGATGCTCAGCAGATCGGGACGCGTTTTTCCGTGTATTTGCATTGATTCTTTCGGGAGCGACACTCCACAAAAGGCGACACTATATGTCTCGCACTGTTTGCAAGCGCACCGCGCGTCCAAACGCGTTACAACGCGCGCCAAGCGAGCAGGACACATATAATTACTCTCTCCAGTAGTTTAGTGATATTCCAAAGAATCTTTTTTCTGTCTGTGTGTGTGTGTGTGCGTATGTGTGTGCGCTCGTCGTTAACTACTTAATCCTCATTTAAAAAGACTGGTATACAAAAGACTAATTTCCAGGAACTTTCCAGGAATCGCATCACGTGGTCAGATGTGCGAGCGCTCTCTTAAGGTCGTGCCAACTGGCTATTTTGTTGTTGTTTATTTGTTTGTTTTGTTGAGATCTACCAGACACGTTTATATCACAATCCACGCTGCATGTAATTATTTAATTTTAATTTTAATTTTTGTTTGTTTTTACATTGAGGTCTTCCTATAAGGATGTTTTCATTAGAAGACTAATTGTAAATTGTATTTTTTTTTTTTACATAAAGGCCTAATATCACAACCAGCAATGAAATGCAAGGGACAGACGAAATATACTGCAATACGTTCAATATAGCACACCCCAAATCTATTTTATTGTTTATTATTCGTTCTATGTTGTATTTCTGTAATAAAATGTTTATTTCTTTATAAAACATCTGTGATTGGGCATGTTTTTTTTTTATAGAATCTGTTGTAGAATCTGTACAGGTTTTAAAGAAATTTACAGTTATTACTTTTCGAGATATGTGTGTTACAGAACTCCTCTGAGCCAGTCACAGCATGACAAGTGCCACCTTAAACCAGAAATTTATTGCCTACATATAACAAAACAAAATATAAGAAGCTGTATAATTTTGACATTTGTGTAAAAACCCCAGAACCACAATAAACTACCTGAATATCCAAAACACAGATGACAGACAGACAGACAGATAGATAGATAGATCCTTAAATCTTATCCTTGTATAAAGACAACTGTGGATTAAAGGGCTGTAGTTCACCCTAAAATGAATATTATGTCATCATTAACTCACCATCATGTTGCTCCAAACCTGTGTGAGTTTCTTTTTTCTGTTGAACACAAAAGAAGGTATTTTAAAGAATGTTGGTAACCAAACAGTTGACGGTAGCCATTGACTTCCATAGTATTTATTTCTATATGGAAGTCAATGGCTACAGTCAACTGCTTGCACAACCCATTTAACACAGCGCTCAGAGCTGACTGTAAGTCTGATGCCTCAGATGACCTTGCTCACACTCTTATGAAGACAATTGGTATGCTTGTTAGTTTTATGGACGGGTCATGTTACTTGTGTTTATAAACCAATTAGTTGCTGCTTTAAAACAAATAAAATTGTGGTCGAGCATCCTCTTCTTTAGATACAATTAGGAAGAAGCTCTTGGCAGATTAGGCTCAGATGACACATGGGCCTGTGTCCTCAAGCGGGTTTAATCATCATTGATGTGTGCTTGACTTGGCACTCATTTCAGTCATAACGCTTATATGTCAAAAGTCAAATGAGCCCAAATTTACCTATGTATGCGTAATAGCTGTCAATGTGCTAAGTGTTCACTAGTTCACATGTTCTGGACTACTGGTGGTCTGAATTTAAGCCTCTTTCAGCAGTTCTCCAGCGCATGTTACCAGATCCTCTCGTAGCATTATTTAATGTTTCCCCAGAAGACTCATGGTTATCAGCATCAATGGGTAAAGTCCTTGCTTTTTCTTCCTTGTTAGAATGCAGAGCAATACTACCAAAGTGGAAGGATGCTGTTCCACCCATTTACATCCAGTGGATCAGAGATATAATATCTTGCCTCCGCCTTGCAAAGATCAGATAGACTAATCATAAAGAGGATCTGAAAAACATTTTTTTTAAAGATCTGGCACCCCTTCATTAATTATTTAGATTGTTCTAAATGATACACTATTATTGACTAAATATCCCTGTTAAGCCAAATGGATGCAAACCCAGTTTATTTGTTTATTTATTGGCATGTATACATGTGCATAACTGAGTGTATGTGTGTACATATTTATATACATTCGTTTTTTCAATTATCTTATGAAAATGGTCAGCATTACAGTAATTGAAAAAAAAACTTGCCCCTTTTAGACTTGCACTCTATTTATTTACTAAGTGCTTGTTCCCTTTCGATACTACACTCGTACTGCGTCTACTAGACGCATATGGGAAAAAAGCCTTTTTCTCCTGAACTGAAGCCTTTTCATTCACACAGTGAAACTGCACGGCCATTGGTTCGTGCATTGTATTAAAAACGAATCAATGGCTAGGCAGCGGAGCTGCACGAGTCTATGGCGACGAAGCCCGCCAAAGCCCGCCAGAATGGGTGGGGCATCTGGCTATATAAGCGGGCGTTCGCCACAGGATTCTCAGATTTCTTCTCCTTCAGCGACGACTCTACGTCCTCAAGCTGATCCGAAGCCGCTCGCCGTTGACACGCCTTCGCAGCTGGAATCGGGACCTCTCAGCATGGCTGACCTGATTCTCAGCCGCTCCAGCGACACAGCAGTTCCGGTCCGGTCCGTTTCCCCTGCCGCCATCCGGCGATATTAAAAGAGCTTCTAAAAGAGCAAAAATATGCCACGCCCTGCGGGTCTCCCCTGCACGCCCATGACGGCCAAACGGAGTGCGTTTCCCGTTTGGGGAAATCCCATGTGGAAGCTGTGCTCACTGGAGCTATTTGTTCCCACTGTGAGAGCTTCAGTCTCGCCTCTCACCGCTCACATATCGCTTTCTTTTCAGAGAGCGACTCCACCCCTCGCGCCCTCCCGTTTCCTTCCTCCCAGGGACCTGTGAGGAAAAAACAGCGGGGCAGAGGGGTCGAGTGACCGGCTGCGAGCGAGCCCATGTCGGCCCAGATCCTGGGTGCCTGGCTCTCGCCCCAGAGAGAGTATTCCCCGTCCTTTTCTCCCGGTCTGATCAGCGTCCCTCTGCTGGTGCGAGCGACCTGATCTCATTTGGGGGAAGTGAGGACGAGCTGCTTGATGACATGTCATTGGCAGCATCGGATGCAGAGGAGCTGTTGGGCTTGGTGAATGACCCCACCCCCTCGCCATCGTCCGCGCCCAGCGCCACCAAAGACGGGATAGATGCCGAGGTTCTCTGTATCCTCTCCAAAGCGGTTGAAGAGCTGGGTTTAGAGTGGTCTCCGCCAGAGGAGCCCTCTCGCAGCCGTCTGGATGAATGGTTCCTGC